ATATAACCAAACAAGATTAAACAGATGAAGAGGTTAATCAAAGATTGTACTGTTGTTGCCACACCGTTACCTTAGAATACAAAGTTCTATCTGACATTTTGGCCGTTTCGAGTTACTAAGACCATGAGGCCAGGAACCATTTTTTTCTATCTGCTTTGTCAAAATCGTAAGATTATTCGGATTTATCATTATAATTATTCAAAGAATTGCATTCGGAAAAAGCTTGACAATGTTGTGAAACTCAAAATATTTGACGTCAAATTTCTTAAATCTAGATACTGATCAGATAGTACTTTGTAATTCTAAGGTAGTGACATGACGACATTGCTACTCTAGCATGTCAAGAGTAGCATTTTCATCAAAAGTACGTCATATTGGGAAATGTGAACATGGTTCTTTTATTTCACACTTTTTAGGCTTCTGGGCACCGAAGGACTAAGACAGGCAAGCTGAGAGAATTGAGAGTTTTGCGTCTGGGTTATACGTGGCTAAATATTTTTAAAATACTTTATAATTTTATTTCAACATTTTGGTTCCAATTTTTTTTCTAACGGGAAACTTGTACTTGCTGCAAGGAAGGTATTATTAGACTCATATCGCGATCTTATTACAACGCTCTTTTGTACGCGCTTCAATTTCATGCTTTTATGCAAATCTCTTCGAAAGCCCTGAATCCCAGTCTCAGAAAAAGGGATTTAGTAGAAAATAAAACTGAAATTTTTCAGAAACGGGCATTGATAACCATAGTCGTTAAAGGATCAAAGGGAAGATTTTTCAGCAGCCTTGATAGCCATGACTTCCAAGCGTTGGGAATAGGAGATCGTATAACACAGAACTCAGCCCACGACGAACTGGAAATAGTACCAATGTATCAATAGGGGTTGGCTACGGTGGTTCCGACATTTGGACACTTCGAATGAGGCAAGGTGTTAAATCGTCGTTCAACATATTATTCCATGTCCCGTTTTCCAAAGCAAGCCAAAATATTCCAAATGAATTTGTATACGTTCTTGCAATTTACATAAATCTACATAATATTATGTTGAAGTCGTTAACAAGAATCTACACAGAAAGTTACGCTAAGAAAAATGTTTTGTAATATGGCCAGTACTGAAAATCTTCATTGAAATCTAATCAGAAGAAATCAGGATTTAAAACGAACGAAAAAACAACAACAAAAAACAACAACAAAAAACAAACAAAAAAACCAACAACCTCAAACAAGTGAAAAAAATCCCAACAAACAACCCTCGAACCCTTCCCCCCACCTAAAAATGTGACAAACAAACCCTCCCCTATAAAAAAAACCCAACCAACCCCCCCCTAAAAAACAAACAAACAAGCAATCAAACAAACAAACCAAACAACAACTACAGCTGCTCTCCATTGATGGGTCCATCACAGCACACTCGTTACTCATTTATTTCTCTGGCTGTAAAGCAGGCATTGATCAATAAAATGAGTGGGCAGGGCAGTCATCAACTACACTGTCCTTCTCGTAGTGTGGGATCCGCTATAAAAAGGTAACAAGGCCGTATATCCGTCTCTTAACAACAAAGTGAAGTTGATGGAATGGAAATGTTTGAAATATGACACTGATCAACAAAGATTTTGCCACTGGGCAACCAACAATAATATGCTTACTTCATGTTTTCAAGTACACTGATTTCAAATCCGACAACCTTCTTTTTCTACCTCGTCCGGCATTTAGTTATTGGACATTCATGCTTTTGTTTATTTATATATATATACTGTTTTACATGCAGTTTGGGATGACGGGGGATTACTGTCTGTTAGTTTGTTTGGCGCTACTCAGAAAACGTAATGACCAAAGACTTAATCAAGCGATACGGAATTGGGGTTTATTTTCTTTTCTTATTGATGTGTTTATGTTAGTGTTGAATAAGAAACAAAGGTTAGTATCCTGAATAATATTAAACCTTGACGCGTTAGTTCAAATGGAACTGTAGATCTGTAATCAACAACCAAACTTCATTTAGAAGCATACAGTATTATGTTAGATGTAAAAAAAAAATGAAATTTGTCTACCAGTGTTATCTTCTAGTTCCAGGAATGTTTTTAAAAACTATAACATACATTTATGGTAATATTTACAGTTGACATTATTACTTAAGTTCAACGAACAACACGGCACAAGAAAAATACTTTGACGAAATTAAATATAACATTTCAAGCAGTTTAATAATAATATCAGCTGAGCATAAGAGACACGTAGTTATAGCCTGTACAGGCTGGGAACTCCAGTCGCCGAGTGGTTGATGAGCTCAGACTCACCATGATGAATGTCAAGCGTTTGTCGGTGACACAGCGATAAGGTGGGTTGTCAGTGGGGCGGGTCCTTGAGCAAAACACAATAACCGTAAGCCAAAAACAGGTCGCTGCACAGGGGCGAACAATAATTGTGTGTGGATTCTTTATGTTTGTGATAGTTTGTGTCATTCCTGCATTTTGGTACAAATGTATTTGTGGATAAGAAGAATATTATGTTGCTGTGTATAACATGATTTTATTTTCAAACAAAATGGCCACAAGAGCACACACAAACACACATACGAACATACACCACTCTCTGTCTCTCTGTCTTTTTATCTCCCTCTCTGTCTCTGTCTCTTTGTCTCTGTCTCTTTGTCTCTGTCTCTGTCTCTCTGTCTCTCTGTCTCTGTCTCTGTCTCTCTCTCTGTCTCTCTCTCTCTCTCTCTCTCTCTCTCTCTCTCTCTCTTTCACACATACAAAAGCGCACGTAAACACACAATAACTGCATTGTTACTTGCAAGTTGAATTATTCGGGGACCAAATAGAATTCACTCATTGAAACAAAATTAGAACCTTGCAGAAATAATTTTATCAACCAATCGTTTCTTATAATTTACAATCCAACTCGCTCGTATAATGTGCCAGATCAGGAGTGTAGCCCTGCTTTGCACCCAACATGCGTATCCCTCGGTGACATGACTTTCAGGGTTTGAAACAAAAGAACGATTATTCACCAACATGAATTAAAACAAGCTTAAAATGAATCTTCTTTGAAGACAAGTCAAGTTATGCAAATGCATTATAAGTATCAGCACCTTTTCCTAACAACTACAAGACTTAAAAAAACAACAACAGCGACATACTACGTTGAATAAGAAAAACTTTCTTTTAAATCATCATATCACGCCACTCCCGAGTAAACAAACAAATGGGTCCAAGACCGAATTCATAGTTCAGAACAAACTCTTCTTTTGCTTCGAAGAACAAAGAAATACATTTGTTTCTTAGATGCTTTGACTGAAGAGACATGGTTTCGTATTAGATTACGTGTGCTACTGATCTCAGCCATCTCAACGATAATGATTTCTAACTTTCAAAAAAGAAAAAAAGAAAAAAAGAAAAGGAACCTGAGTTACCAGGCTCAAGAAAACGATTCCTCTCTACAAATTTTAATATTCAAAAGTATGCAATCAACAAAAGTTAACATACACGGCGCAGGCAAAGGGCACCGAACCATTTTATTCCATGTAGGTTTGGATTTCCAGAACGCACCTTAGTATATGCATGGAGCAGTTTTGTTTCCTAAAGCCTGAACGTTTTATGTTTCGTGATTACCAACGACATCATAAAATGTGTACAAGTAGTTTTGAATATATATGTTTTATTTTTCCCTTCAAGTGAAGTATTCTCGGGGAGTTTCCGAAACTAGTAAAAATCAAAATGTCAAAGTCTCCAGTCCAACCTGTTATGGGAGAAAATTGATTCGTATGTGTCTATTCCTGCATAGACTTCAGAACGTTTCAAGGGCCGAAAAAAAGAAATTTAGTCAAACGGACAAAACAACTGACACCATGCTGTATGCTCCCCTCCCCGCCACTCCAATACAAAAAGAGACAAAAGAATTAGAGAGAGTATAAAGTATTCCACGTGCTTTGGAGACAAAAGGCTCGACAGCCTTAATCATCAACATGATATCATTCTTTTTCAAAACAAGGCATGAAACAACATTTTGAACAACAGTAAAAGCAACGACAAACATTGAAAAAACAACAATAACAAAAGTTCACAAAAATAGCCACCCCCCCCCAACAAATCCCCTCCCCCACCAAAAAAAAAAAAAAAAAAACGAAAAGAAAAAATCTACCCACCCAAAATGAACGTACAGAAATGCGCCAGTGTATTATAGTTACAATACAATACAATATAATATTCCGAACAGTGAGATTGAATTACCATTCACATGAAAAAGTGTTCGAAAACAAAATTATTAATATGTACTCAGATGCAAATAACAATTCCGAATTGAGCATATTATTGTTCTTGAAAACAAGGTAACATCATAATTATATTTCATAGGGTTAAGACATATCATGTTTAGGCAAAGTATGAGATACCAGAAAAAAAATCCTACATTCGTTTGGAGGAAAGCGAAAAAGAAGTAACCAGATAAAATTATTCACAACATAAACTGTTTTTCACTTGTTCCACCTGTTCTATGGGTATTATTATGCCATCTCAGAGCTTATACTTTTATGGGAAAGAGCGTTATATGTACGCAAGTTATAATGATAATAATAATAATAATAATAATAATAATAATAATAATAATAGTAATAATAGTAATAATAGTACAAAATAATAAAAGAAATAGTAATGCTGATAATAATAATAATGATAATAATAATAATAATAATAATAATAATAATAATAATAATAATAATAATAATAATAATAATAATAATAATAATAATAATAATAATAATAGTCGAGTTGTGGGCGATACTCTGAAGACTTTATAATGAAAAGTCCAAAGAAGGGACAATACAATGTTCTTCGACTTCACTGACTATAGCGTATTTCAATAAAACCTACGAAAACAGGTTTTATTCGAGGGGTCAATGAAAATGCTCTTATGTTTGATTAAGAACAAATAGAAATTGTTAAAGCTCTTAGACAAAAAAAGAGGGGCGATACAAGTTGAGTGAGAAAAGAACATGTTTTATCAATTTTCGATTTCATTGCTTAAATTCACAAATGTGCGATCTGAAGTATTTTGTGCTTGACAAACAATGTCTTCACAAAGAAGCAGGTCTACCTTGACTTCCTTTGGGGCACGTCGGCATTTGAGTAAAGGCTTTTCTGAATTTACGAGCACTTAGAAAGTACAAATAAAAATTCACAGCGTGAGTGGAGTCACAAAGTACAAATGCTATTTGCTGGCAAAGGTATTTTATGTCGTATTCCTCAGTGTAGGGCTTCACTTCCCAATAATGATCAGTCACGACGAAGGCGCAGATGGGGAAAAGAAGAACGACAAATACGAAAGTAGAAGTGAACAACATCAGCAGAATCTGACGTTGGATAGAAACATCGCAACATCTCGGTCGGAACGAATCACTACTAATACACTGTAGTGCTCTCCGAATTCGGAAGGAGTTCCGGATTGCTTTACCAATAAGGATGTTACTTAGAGCGAGTATTATGAAAGGAATGAAAGCGTAAAGAGACGTGTTCACCCACGTCATTAAGTGGGGCATGTGGGAATTCTGTAAAGACTCGCAGTTGTCAGCTTTTTCGTTGTAATAAACAATAGGTATTATCGGGGCGTACGCTGCACCAATGCCCAGACCTACAGAGATTATGATCATGACAGACCTTTTGCATGTGAGAAATTTCTGCACTCTCAGTGGGTAACGAACAGCCAGCAACCTTTCTATCGCCATCAGGACCAACACCCAGTTGGCAAATGTTGAGGAGTAGTTTCCCATAAATTTCAAGAATTTACATCCTGGGGTGCCTAATGCTGCTCCACTTCCGAGGATCTGATAAAACATGATCTTGATCGCAAGTGACAGAGTATCCATGACAGCAAGTAGCACCACGTAGAGCGTAAATGAACCAAGGTGACGCATTCTTACTATAGTCACAATCGTCGCCAGATTTCCAGGAAATCCAAACGCTAGAATAACCCACAAATAATACTTGTTGATGGTCATGGCTAAATCCATGATTCGTGAGTTCTCCATATAAATGTAGGTGATATTGCTGACATTATACGGGGTGGTAGTTACCTCATTCATTTTGGAAATCTTGAGCCAAAATCGAACAGAAAGTTACGTGTCCTGAGAGAACTAATACTAAGCGTCACTTTATCACTTTATTGATATTGACACCACTGTTTCACGATTTGTGCCAAAGCGTTTAAAAATACACACAAGTACCCATTTCAGAAGCAAGAGATATTTTGCTTCCAAAATTAACCATGGAAGAAGGAATTCAGATAATTGTGGTAGAACTCGATCTCGACGAAGAATGTAAAGGATGGTAGTCTAGGGTTTTCCCTCGTTCTTTCTCCTGTGTCGTGACAAGGTATCTGAGGAAGCAGGAAACAAAAAGTAAGATATCTAACCTCAAAGACTTTTCTAATTCAGGATGATAATCATTGAATAGTAAAAGGATAGATTAGCTCCGTTCTGACCGATGTAAAAAATCTGAATGTGTACATGTTGAAGAAATTGAGCACTTAATGTATCAAAGATATGTGACGAGTAAATGAATGTGAAGAAAACAGAATGCATGGGTGGTATCTAAAAAAGTAGCAAATGCGTATTGCAATCTCATAAGCCAACCGAAAAGATCAAACAAGTTCAACAGTTGAAATATCTAGAACTAGGATACATAATAGCTTCTTTTGCCAGATGTTCCATAGGAATAAAACGAAGAATTGAAATGGTTAAGGACAGTTTCAATAAAATGAGTTAAGTTGAGAAAAACAGAAACATCCCAATGTCTACCAAAATGTTCTGAAACACTATGTATGGTCAACCTTCCTATATGGCTGTGAATGCTGGACAGTCACTAAAGACAGTGAAAATAAAACAGAAGCAACAGAGATGGGTTTTTGTTTTAGGAGACTGCTGAGAAAATCTTGGAAGGAAAAGAAATCAAATGAGGTAGTACTTGAAGAAGTTAACGAGGGATACTCGTGGATAAAAATAATCAGGAAAAGACAAATGCAATTTTGGGACACCTGAATAGACATAAAGATCTTGAACATCTAGTTCTCACTGGCAACACTGAAGGCAAACGAGGCAGGGGTAGGCCCAGAGCAACCTACTTGGAGAACTAAAAAGATGGGTAAGGAGGAAAGATCAAGGTAATGTAGCGTTTTTAAGAGAATTAGAGCAAAGGAATGAATGTAGAGCCATGATCGCCGACGTCAGTCGCAGATGATGATAATGATCTATATAAAAGTTAATCTTTCTAATACACTAAATATTCACACCTTTTAAAAAAATATCGAATATTGTGTTAAATGTCCTCTTAGTCTTTCTACCGAATACAGATTAGAGAAATACTGCAAAGAAGAGGTGACACCTCCATAGTAAAACGTGTAGAGAAACGGATCTGAAGTTCGCACTCCCTGGCCTGCCGTCTTTTTTTTAGGAGTTTAGGGGGAAGGGTGCTTTCCCGGAATTTTTGGTTGCAGCTCTACAGTTCAACTTACATCAGTGTGAGACGGCACTGGCAGCTATATACTATTAACATAATGATATAAAAGAAGCGCTTATAATTTGACGTTTTCAACCAGCTTTAAAAAATCCCCCCCCCCCTCGAAAAAACAACCCCATTCCACAAATTAAGCTTAATTAAGAAACAGTCTCTAAAGTACTGTTTTTGACATGTTATTGCTGTGAAGTCAGAAAAAAAAGAATTGAATTGCTACTCTACGTCTTGTAATATGTACGCTTCTTTTTCTTAGCAAATAAGCACCCAATAACACGTCTACATTTAATTTGGTTTCGTACTAGTGCATAGTAATGGGTACCTGACTTCGACTTGGGAAGTACAGGCGGCGTGGAAAGGAACTGACCAACCTACCACAATGCCGAAGGCCCAAGAAGTTATCTCACTAAAAAGGCAATCCCCAATGTCCGGATCACATGCGGGAACAACTTTTACTAGTTCATAACTTACTTGCATTTTCCCTCGTTGTATACTAGTTGTTATGGAAAAAAGATACGCAAGACTCGGAAACAACTGTTTTGTATAAAATCATATTTCTTGTTTAGCCATGGTGACAGGTGACAAGTGACAGGTGACCTATTTGTCCATCTTTTTGTTCAGTACAAAGGGAGCTATAATTTACCATTCGACCGTGACATCACATTTTTCACAATATGACGTAGGAATATCCATAGCAAATTTTTTAATAAACTTTACGGATCAACAACGACACACACACACACGTACACACACACACACACACACACACACACACACACACACACACACACACACA